AATACTTGTATCAGTAATGTTTAAATACTACCAAAGCTAATGAATACTAGTCAGAGATCACTGAGATGGTCACCATCTCCAATGACCCAACTTTAATTAAAGGGCATTAGAATGAAAGGACTTGTAAAGGGCTGTATTTGGAGATTGATCTTGACCCCTTACACCTTTTCCCATGGGCACTCTTTGGGTGAGGTACATGTATGAGCCAGATGGATCTAAGGGAAGAGAAAATATGCTCATGACAAGGATTCCACACAGAGATCTGTTATGACCTAGAAACTTGTTAGAAACTGCACATCCTTAACCCAGAAACTCTTTAGGGGGGAAGAATGAGCCAGATAGGGACAAGAGGAAAATGTGCTCTGGACAAGGATTTCTTAAAGAATTCCGTTATCTAAACCTCTGACCTAGAAACTTGTTTCAAGGTCACTTCACACCCTTAACCCATCGGCACTCTTTTGGTAAAGTATGAACCAGATAGGAAAAGACAGGGAAAATCTGCTTCAGACAAGGATATTCAAAGAGATTTTATTTTTATCTTGACCTTTGATGAAGAAAACAGTTCCATGGTCACTGTACACCTCCTACCAACAAGCACTTAATGGATGAAGTATGAGTCAGATTGGCCCAAAGGGAAAGAAAATATATGTTCTCATGATAAGGTTTTTCTGAGAGATACTGACCTTTGATCTAGAAAATTGTTTTAAGGTTACTGCACATCCTCAACCTACAGGCACTTAATGGGTAAAATATGAATCAGTAGGGCCAAAGGGAGAGAAAATATGCTCAAGACAAGAATTTTTATACACAGCAGTTTTTTTTTACCTTGACCTTTGATCTAAAAACCTGGTTCAAGGTAACTGCATGTCCTCTACCCAAGGAACTCTATAGGTCAGTGTTTGAAATAACCGTGTGCCCGACCACCCGAGATGCACAAATTTTGCATCGGCCGAACAAATTTGCATGTATTGACACCCGGCTGGACATGTTAAAATTTTCAATAATTAAAATTCATATCTTTCATATCAACTACTAGTATTGGTAGCAAAGTGTAACAAGCCAAGAGGAAAAATTCATCAGTCTATAGATTCTGGTTCAAAGTTATGGTGACCTGATTTCAATCTCATAATTGTTAAAAACAAATTTATAAAATACAATTATTTTCTTGGGCTAGTAGATCTCTGGCAGGGCTGACAACTTTTACTAGCAGTCAGCCCTGCATGTCTGGCTAATTTTGCAGTGAGTTTCAAACACTGCTATAGGTTATTGCAAGATTGGGCTAAAGGGAGAGAAAACATATTTCAGAAAGTGATATTGGACAGACATAGGGACAGATCACTATAAGGCACCTACAGAGCTAGGCCCTTATAAGCAACAGATGTTCTCAAAATTTGGTGCAATTCTCTTTACATGTGTAAAACAACACTTCATGTCTAGTTCTGTCCTGTTATAAAATTGTATATACAGTCAAACCTGTATTAAGCAGTCACCTGCGGGAACCATTAAAAGTGGCCTTTATAGAAAGGTGACCTTTGAAAAGAGGTTCATCTTTTTTTCAAGAAAAATTCTTTTCCAATTTATTTAAGTTCTGTGTTTTAAAATACTACATCATAGAATATTAAAGAAAGATGTGTTTTGGACATCAATGGTCTCAGTAAGATTTTTTTTTTAATTTAAATAGTCTCAAGATTAAGTTCAAGATAAATTTGATGACTCCAACAAAAAAATATATTGAGTCTAATATGGCATTGCATTATCCTCTCTCCAAATAACAACAAAATGTTCTTTTATTATAAGATTACATTATCATGTTGTGCCATGAATAAAATATAATGTATTTTTTATCTAAACTGCCCCTAAAAAACAAGTTTAGTTAATCCTGATAATGGTATGTTTAATAATACATAAATAGTAGCGTAATAAACAGACAAGTCGTAATATTCTCAGTTTATCAAAGCAGCGCATAATACAAATTGATATCAAATTCACAGGTGATGTGAGCAATAAAGCGTGACTAATCCTAATGGTTGTCTTACCTAGTTGAAAATCACGAGATAATCAGGACACATTGAGTATACAAAACAGTTTTAAAATTAGGGTTTCTACAAATAATACGTTTCCTATGTGTTCAAAATGGCCTGTCATGCGTTTACACAATTACACCTATCAGAGTTTGGCATGCCAAATGTGAACTAATAATAAGGAAACACCTAATTTAAATTATTGTATCCATTAATAGGTAAATAAGGATGCCTTGTGTATCACTCAGAATTTTTTAAACCAGATTAAGATTTTCGTAAGTCCGTTTTTCTGATAACCTTTTCGGTCACTAGCACCTTTGTTTAGTTTTGTTAAAAAAATAAATAAATTATCCAATATTTTAAATGCTTTTAATAAGGCCAATTATTTTTCCCATGATCTCACTACACAAAGTAATTATTTACATTAGTGACAAAAATTGGGAGTCACCTGATTTTAGATCTGGTCACGTGATTGGACAAAATGGCCACTATGTAAGAGGTAAAACGGCGATTTTACATGAAATTTGATGACCGCATTACGCAGGTGACCGCTAAATAGAGTTACATTGTATAAGAAAATTCATTGGGAGGAAATAGAATGACCGCATAGGACAGATGACCGCTGGATAAAGGTGACCGCTATGACAAGTTTGACTGTATCTATATAAATTCTCTTTTATTTTAATGTCAATAACCCCACATACATGTATGTTTTAAAAGAAAAATTAGTACCTGGACCGGTGTAGGACAGTTGTAAGTACAATTTTGGTGGAGAATCTGCATGGGGAATATGAGATCTTCTGGACCAACTGCCCATCCCAGCTTCCAGCCTGTAGCACTAAATGTCTTCCCAGCACTTCCAATGGTCACTGTTCTCTCCCACATTCCTGGCAGGGAAGCTAAACACAGAAAAAATATTACTCATAATTCACAATAAAAGCAGATTCATTGGAACAGCATTGGAATTGCTTCATTTATAAAACATACAGAGTCCATCAGTCAGAAATGTCAGTGGTGACATAATTCATATATGAATTTTAATTGATACGAAAATAATGTCTTCATATAATTCTTGCTTAAATATGAATTCTTGAGTTTTCTCTCATATGTACATTTACATGAAGCTACCAAAATAAAGCCATTGGCAAGTAAAAAGTTACTACCAGACAAACAGGCTTTAAAAAACCTATTTTGTGTGACTTATACAAATTTGTACACAAATCATAGAAATGAGATAAGAATATTTATAAAATTTTCAACAGTGAAATACTCTAATTTATTTACTAAATGAAAGTGATATTTTGTCACACTGTGAAAGAATATCAGAAGTGTGGCAAAACTCTCGTTTTTCCTTCCCTTCATGAAGAGTGTTGTAAAAAATACTCCCTAGCCTGTTATAAGACAGAAAGAGTATATAAACCATCCTGACAGAGACTAAAACTGCAACTCCAAGTTTTTGAAATTCATGATGTTTACAATGCATGTTTTCAATCTCACAATCGATAAGCTATGATGTCTCAATCGCTCAACTATGACGTCACAGCCTACAACACTGTGTTATGAAAAGCCAGAGGCAAATGGAAAATCAAAGAAAATGTTATGAACAGAAAATTCAATATTTTGTAGTTGAATATGGAATTTATTTAACTCGTGAGATAGGATTTTTTTTATATTTTCACTCATGCCTCACATCTGTGAAAATATTTTTTAAAAAATCCTGTCCCACTTGAGATATGAATTCCATATCCAACTACAAAGCATTGAATATCCTCTACCTAGAACACAAAATAAAGGGTCAATCATAATGACATAGGCTAAGCAATGCTTTATAAATAAGAGTTCATGTCAGTAACTCACTTACCAATCTTGATATGTTTATTATCATCATAGACCATCCACTCATACACTTCATCTGACAAACAAATAGTGTCATACTTTATACACAGGTCTGCAATCATCTGAAGTTCCTCTCGAGTGAAAACCTGTGGGGATGTTTGTTCAAAAAGTTCAACATAAGTGTTATTTTGCAATGGAATGTATTATCAAATTTCGAATAGATTCACACATTATACAAGTATTTTTTTTTAAATCAATATCAAAATCCATTCATCAATATACATGGAATATGATTTACAGGTTGTTAATCTCATAGTGAAGCTTTCTCCTACCTTCCCAAGTGGATTATTTGGATTGTTTATGAATACAGCCTTTGTTTTCTTGCTGAATTTACTCTCCAGTTCCTTGGGATCTAACTTCCAGTCTTTGCTAGAAGTCACCTGTCCTGTCTTTGTCTGCAACATTACACAGACATTTTTGCTTATACTTCGGAAAAAGTAGACAAAGTAAAATATTAAACTGTGCCATTGCATACTTACATGTACTACCTCACATCAGAGAATAAATTCTTTAAGATCAATATTACAGTATTAAGCACTCACTGGCCTCAGAGGGCAATAAAATGCTTGTCCTCCAGCAACTTTAACCATTGGCTCATAGCAGTCAAAGTAAGGCTCAATAATCACTGCTTCATCTCCAGGGTTTATCAATCCTTGGGCAGCACAGAATAGGACACCATATGCCCCGACTGAGACAGTCACATTTTTATATGGATCCAACTCATGGCCAATGAGAGGAGAGTATAACTTTGCAAGAGCCGACACAAGCCTGGGATGGCCCTGAAATATAAACACGTATAAATATGTCATACTTAAAAAAGAACTTTTTTTTACAGGTTTTGCAAAGAATATCTAAAGAGGGGATGTGGGGAGAGAGTTTATTAAGATTGTGGTATATACCAGGTAATAAAATCTGAGATGGAGGAATGTTGAGTTTGTATGGTTGTATATAAGGAAAGGGGGGATTAAAAATATGTGATTGAATGAAACAATTTTGAGTGAAAACTTACAAAGCTGCGAGTATATTGATGCATGAGATGGTTGTCACTAGCAACCGCTGCTGTCATCTCATCAATCACATGTTGTGGAGGCTTAAAGTCTGGAAATCCCTACAAAACATCTGAAATCTCACATCAATGGTTCTACTTTTAATAACTTAATTAGTTTTTTTAAAATCACTTTAATTATCCATATATCTCTCTTTTTTTACTATGTGCATAGTTTTTCATAAACATGTTAAATATAACTTTGTCCTATTCTACCCAATATGATTTCCCCAACTTTGTTTAAAAAAAAATATTTACAAAACCTTCCTATAAACACAATCAAAAAAATGTGAGAAACATTCATCTCAATATTTTTTTTATATCTGGTCCTACCATTGTATATATGGCAGAGGTGTTGTTCTTGTACTGGGATAAAGCTCTTACCTGTCCAAGATTCAATGCTTCATTTTCCACTGCAAGTTTCCCAAACTCCACCCTAAAGAAAAATCCATTTTCAAATTAAAAGGCTACACTTGTTAATTATGGTACATATATTGGCTAAATGCAATTTATATAAATTTTTATACAATTCTGACCTCATTATATGAGCTGATATAAAACTTAACCAAGACTAAATATTATGACTCTCTTTCACATATAGATCTTGCAATGACAAAATTTATAATTAACACAGTAACTTAATTACCACATTTTTATGTCTCATTTTAAAGTTCATACTGTACAAATTCAAAACTATTCAATAATTTTGTGTTTATTGAAATTAAATATGTAATTGTTTGTGTTCTTAAATGACAATTGTCCAAGAGTTCTAATAGAAAGGAATTGACAAGGCAACTATAAAGTGCAAGTTAACAGTACATTTGTGTACTGTTAAGTAAAAGATTTTGATTGGCCTTGTTAAAGCTCCACTGAATCATTAGTAAATTATTACCATATGTTCTTCTCTGTTCCCTTTATCCTATTGGAGCCTGTTAATTTGGAAGACATGGTTCTCTACAAAAAAAAAAATCAACTCTTCAGATCACTGTACATTATAAAGGAATACATGCTATAAAAAGAAATGCATTCATCCATTTATTGTCAACCTTCATTTTGTAAATGTTCTTTGGAATTCAATGATTTTCCATTTATAATCTTACTTTTGACTTGCAAGTGCCATTATCATGGAATGTACCTTAGAACATGTGCCACAAATGTACTGTTAACTTGCACTTTATAGTAGAATGTTAAGTATCTGACTTGACCATGCACTCTTTTTAATATTGCCTTAATGTATATATCAAGAAAGAAAATTATTTAGGGTGGACACTGGTTATTCACAGTGAAAGAAAAAGGTTTTTTTTTTATAAAGTAGAAAATATGCATTTAAACGATAATGCATAAATATTAACAAAAGTGATTTGAAAGTAATCATTGCATAAAAATGTAAAATAATGTCAAAAGTCAATAAAAACAGATGAACATTATAATTGTGAAAATTTTAATTAAATATGTACATTAACACACAATGCACACAGTAGAAACTCACAACATTCTCACTAATTGCAGTACTATTTGTAGCCTTTGAAAAGCAGGATAAATAGGATCTGGGCTGTGCATTGATACCACCCTTTCTGGCTCTTGATAACAGGGAAACAATCCTCATAACTTAAAATATAAATGTAAAGTTGAAAATAACATTTTTGATCATCAATAATGATGACATTTTTAATTGAATCATGTTAATGTTTATCTCACAGTAATCCCTTCATCACTTTCACAGTTTTATCCTGTGCAACCCTACAACTGTCAGTAAATTAACTTTTAAGAGGCAGTCCACCAGAAAATCAGGCAGTTTTGTATTAATAGGCGGCACATCGAATGTGACGAATATTTGATATTTTATTGAAAATGATATTAATGTAGTCCATATGGAATAATGTACGTAAAGATTTGTTTGAAAATAGCTTATTTACTAAAACATTGTTTTGTTTTGTGTTCTTGAATTCCCCTATATAAACCATTGAATGTAGGTCGGAAACAAAGAACTGTTAATTCTAATACATTTTCAACAGATCTATAATTCACTCCAAACTAAATCAAGAAATATTTCATCTTTCAATTTAAAAAACAAAATCAGTGGGAAAAATATTTTCAATAGTAGTTTTCTTGCAAAATAGACAGTCATTTTTATGAAATTCTGTGATGCAAGAGTTATCTCCCGTAGCATCGGGAAATAATCTAAACATCTTACTATCAGAACCCCTGTGAGAAATTTAGAACTGATACGCTAAAGAATATCATTCAACCCAAAATAATTGGATTATTTTCAAAAACGGAATTAATTTTCACCTCCAAACATAATATTTAGTCTAAAATTTGCTTTATTATTCAGGTTGAAACCACTTTTCCATTGATGTATCAGTGACGTCAAATACCTGTCTAATATTGCGTCACAATAGTTGCAAATATTCCGCGGAAGTTGGTATGTAAACGTGCAAAGAAAAAGATTTTTAAAAATTTACATTAAATAATTTCTCTTTTCTGTCCAATTACGTTTCCGAGTGCATTAAATAATATTGTGATCCAGAATGTATTTTATTCACGGGCGGTGCCTCAGCTATAGATGTTTTAAAACAAGTCAGTATTGATAAGTAATTTTATATATGTACAAAACGTCTTTACAATTGATAAAATTTGGATGTGAAAAGATTAAGGATTATTTCTTATTATTCAGTAATAATGAATATTCCAAATTTACGCAACATTCAATTCAGCAAAGTCGAGATGTGCACTTCATGAAGTGTTGTTAATACTTGAATATGTTAACTTATATGCAGTAATATCAAATATCAGCATTATACGACTGTCGGACCGAATAAGTTTTAACAGTTGTAAGAATGGAAGTACTCGTCACATCCCACTTCACTAATATTATTTTTTTATAGCAATGGTTGTTTACTATTAGTGTCGGTGGTTCAGATTCTGTTTAGACTTAAATTTTTTTTTAAAAATGTAAAATCTGAAATGAGAAAAAAAGTTATAGAAATCTATAAATTTACTAATTAATGAGGAAAATGTTGCCAATTCTACTGCTGGACGCCCCACTTCAGGTGACACTAAAACGGCAGACGAGTCAATGGAACATTTTTTTTTATTTTTGTTTTGAAAATTTGACAATTGTTCCACATATCCTAATACTTTATATTGAGTTAAAATAAGTCAGTAGGTTGGTAAATTTCCAAAATATCTCATTATTATCAAACCAGTTACAAAACGGATGCTGCCAAGACGATACTCCCTCCCCCGCTTTTTTTTTTTTGTGCGATCATTTCTGGGCTCTATTATCATGATTATATATGTAAGTGTACAGGTTTTTTTCTTATTTATTTCAAATTAAATTTCTTAGAGCATGAAAATATTCCTTAATATGATGAATGGATGAAAAAAATTGGATTAAAGCCGAGGCTGTACACATAAAAAATACTTGCTGGATTAAAGTACGTGCATGTATAATTTCGCCACTGCAGGACTATTTTTTTTTTTTTTTGATTTTCTTTTTTAGTCCAGATAATTTAGAAAAATATTTTTCTTGGAAATGAGATATTTTATTAAGCTTAAAATTTGCTATTAATTGTTACATGAAATAAATATCTTTTTAAATAGGTGTGTATCAAGAAATCAAACAGATGTTTTACAAGTAATTAAAAAGATCTTCATGGACCTGAAAAACATTTAGTAATTAAGATAGATGTAATCTATGGATAAAATCATCTAAAAACATGTAACTCACAGAAAAGAAATAAAATACAGACATATTCCTACGATAAAATACAACGAAGAGCCGATTTTAGAAAAATATTTCTAATTTTTAATATAGAAACCAATCCCGATTGAAATAAAACCGATCCCGATCGAAATTAATGCAAAATTATTAAGTAATCAAATTAATGGTAATTGCCACCTAGAAAACATGTTTAAAAATAAATCAAGTAATTTGTAAACCATATTAAAACAAAACAACCAAGTTTCATGATGAAATCATAGTAGCTTTCTTCTTTATATAATTCCGGTCGGGATCGGTTTAATTTGGATAAATTTATAAAAAGTAGATAATTTGACGCCTCTTATTTCTCTCAATATACCTGTTCCCACCAATTTTTTAAATTGATTCAACAATTTGTACTTTGTATTCATAATAACATGAGGAGAAAGTTTTGACATTTAAATGTATTGGATTTTAGAACGTAATGAAAATTGGATAGTGAATTCATTAAGTCACTTGCTTAACTCAAGTTTAGACCACATAATTTTTTCTAAAGATATATAAATTGGTGTCTTATTCATTGATATTATAAAAGATAAGGGTTTATACTATAAATAATATTTATTAACATATCCAGTTTTTGAGTATCTGTTTCAAATAAAACAAAACAAAAACCTAGTAAATTTTTAACCAACTTGTTGACCTTTTTGCACTTAAAATTAAGCACTTACCAAAAATAGGACTAGAGGAACACTAAAAAAAATTTTGATGTTGCCATGTGTAAACATTTGCTTTAATAAGTCTACATGCAAAAAATAATTAAAATCCATGACATGCGATGTGCCACCCATTGCCTGGTTTTTTGGTGGACTGCCTCTTAATTATTTTGTCAACTTTTACACATGCAGCCTTGCATATCATAATATAAACTAAATGTACCACTTTAAAATCAGAATTATGTAAGGCCAAACAAAAAAATATGTTTGTTTACTGTTACATGCTGAAATAAAATAGGGTCGGTAGGTAGGGTTTTTTATTTATTTATTATTTTATTTTTTTATACACAAATTCACATGAATTGGTTGAAATACAGAACAGTTTTACCATTGTGTAGTGCTTTTTGTTTCTTAGACTAGTACTTTCAATTTCGATTTCAAATGCATGAATGATCGAGATGCATGTAAAAGTTAAACTGAATGGCGAGTGACTTCAGGATTTTTACGACGAAAAAACTTTGAGACGGCAATTAAATATAGGGTCAGTCGGGTAACCGGAAACAAACACATTTTTTTATTACACCTAAGTCGCCTTTGACTCTTTCAAATGTTCATTTTACAGAAAAATGATGTAAATATCTGCAATTCAATATCAATGAATATAAATACTGGAGACCTGTTTTCTGATATTGTTTATGTTTCTCCTTGTGCATTCAATTCACTGATACCTGAGGAATTATGGATTACACGCAAAGGCTGACTTAGCCTTACTTTTTCAAGTGTCAATGCTTCTGAGAGGATTTTCAGGTCTGAATTATTTGTCGACATAACTTTCTTACTATGCTGATTAATAATAAGTTTTTACTTGTGTCTCCGATGAATCATTATCTGAATCATGATTAAGAATATATACTACCAGTACTATAATAATTACAAAGATAAATACATTATAATTCATTCTTGTAAACTTTTATCAACTGTCATTATGTCAATTTACGTTGCAGACTTGATACATGTCCCTTTAGATGCAAGTGCAGTCCAACTGTGTAATGGACAGATAGAGTTCCTTTAAAATGCACTAATGCAGATTATTGATTATCATAAATATTGTACCTCTTCTGATATTTAGTCCTCTTACTTAACGTTTTTTTTCTTTCTCAATCTGTATCTCATTAAACACGTCCCAAATTCAGAACGACCATGTCGCACCTCAGTCACCTCTCCTCCGACTAGGCTTCGAAGACTTTCTTTCCTTTCTTTCCTGGAGAGCTGGTTTAGAAAGAGTTCGTTCCCTTTACCTTTTAAAAATCTGATTCTCGATCCGCCAGTTTGTAATCACAACCTGTCTAACAGTTTGCAACAAATTCAAAAAAGTTTAAATCCCTAAGCCATTTGATATTTTAAAATAATCTTATTGCTACATGCAGCAATTTAAACCGGGAAGGGGGGGGGTAATTTTTCCAGTATATATTTCGCTATTCTCTTTAGAGAAGTGGACAGACTTTCGCCTACATCCACCAGTACAAAGTTTACTTTAGAAAAACAAAGCTGATATACAATAGTGTCCGACCCCCCTCAAAAACAGAAAACAAATGAAGCTAATTTACGTGATAATATGTGTAAATCTCATTCGTCTGTTATTCTGTACACGTCTGTCAGTCACAAAACTTTAACCTGCTTATAACTTTAGAATGGAAAAAAATAGGGCTTTCATACTCCCACATGTACATTACCTGTATCAAGGCCTTTCCAAATGCACTATGATTTTGACCCCGTGACCTTGACCTTCAAGTTTGACCTACTTTTTGTGACATCATAATTTTTGTATGAGGGAAGATTGGACGTTCATATTTGACATGTGCATTACCTGTGAAAAGACAATTCCAAATGTACTAAATTTTTGACCCCCTTAAGCTGACCTTGAAGTTTGACCTACTTTTCAAAAATTTTTAACATTGGTGATAACTTTTGAATAAGAGAAGATATGGCATTCATATTAGACCACAGGTGCTTGAGGACAGGACCCCCCCCCCCCAAATATAGACCCCGGACCTGTTCGACTTTTTTCTCATAAATTATGTATGGCTGACACATTTATGATATAATCTCTATAGCATCAATTCGGAAAATTGACTTAAACAAACATTTTATAAAAATTACTACCCTACCCTATATATAAAAATTATATATAGAGAGTGGGGTAGATTTTATAAAATGTATGTTTTGGGTAATTTTTCGAATTGTTGGTATAGATCATATCACAAATATGTCATTGAAAGATAATTTATGAGAAAAAAGTCGAAAAGGCCCGGGGGTCTATATCGGGGGGGGGGGGGGGTCCTGTCCTCAAGCACCTGTGTATTAGACATGTGCATTACCTGTAACAAGACCTTCCCATATATACACTAAGATTTTTTAACCCCTTGACCTTGATGTTTGACCTACTTTTCAAAAAATTTAACATTGGTGATAACTTTTAAATGAGAGAAGACAGGGCATTCATATTAGACATGTGCATTACCTGTGAAAAGACCTTCACAAATATACTAACATTTTTTACCCCTTGACCTTGATGTTGAACTACTTTTCAAATGTTTTACATTGGTGATAACTTTTGAATGAAAAAAGATAAAGGGCGTTCATTTTTGACATGTGCACTATCAGTGACGACACCTTCCAAAATACTTTATGATTTTTATCATCATGACCTTGAAGTCTGACCTACTTTTTCAAAAAAATTAACATTTATGATAACTTTATTTTGAATGAGAAAAATCAGGGCATTCATATTTGACGTGTGCATTACCTGTTACAAGACTTTCCGAATGTACTATACTTTTTGACCTCGTGACATTGACCCAGACGTTTAACGTACAGTACTTTTCAAAATTTTTAACATTAGTAATAACTTTTGAATGAGAGAAGATATGGCTTTCCTATTTTACATGTACATTCCCCGTGACAACACCCTTCAGATAGGACTATCATTTTTTACTTCATGACCTTGACTTAAAGTTTAACCAACTTATCCAAAATTTTAGCTTTGGTCGTAACTTTTACTCCAGAAGAGACAGGGCTTTCGTAATTTTTCACATGCACATCACTTGTGACAAGACCTTTAGGATTTCATTGTGATATTTGACTTCATGACCTAGATCTTGAAGTTTGATACAGTTTTAAAAAACAGTTTTTTGAATTTACTTGTTACAGTATATACTTGTATGCTGTGTTTATTATTATGATGATGATAATGGTGATGATGTGGTATTGTATCTCTTCAATATTTCATTGATCTAATTTCAGACCAATTGTTACATACTTTATATCATAATGTACACGTACTTAAATTTGATTACATTGTTAAAATTGCTAATAGTAAATGTTGAGTTTGAAATTGGATGGGAAGTTCAGGCAGTGTAGTTCACCAGTGACCTTTATACTAACGAACGTTAGTTAACGTACGTTAGTATATAGATCCCTGTAGTAAACAAATCATGTTGATATGTTTTGTGCAATCTTACCTTTCCATACTGGCACATATTTTTATGAATTGTGTTGTGACATATAGCATATAAAGGTATGACTGAATAATGGCAAATGCATCCTGAAATCTGAACTAATCAGGCCCGTAGCAACGGTTTCAAAGGGGCGGCAACTTCCCAAGTCTGACAAGCAAAAATTAAAAAACAAAAAAAAAGCGTCTAAAGGAAAATTCACTATAGCAAAATATTATACTCAGAAAAAAGTGGGGACCGGGCTTCCTCCCCCCCCCCCCCCCCCAGCGTTCTACGCGGGCCTTCCAGGTTAATGGTCGAAAGAAGTTTAGTGCCGTTTTAATTTGATTATACCCGATGTAATTTTACAATCGATTGCCAACCCTAGTATATGTCGGTCTTAGCTGTTACAATTTGCACAGTAAATTTTCTTTTTCTTTTGTTTGTTAAGAATTAAAACAAGATATCAGTTATTGTGCATGTTTCTAGCTAAATGACAACTATGTATTATTAAAAAGGTGATATTTTTGTTTTAAATGCAACAAATTATACTTACACATGTTCAAAAAGAGATTGTAAGTTAACAGAATGAAATATATGGAGATAACGAACAGCACTGAAGCTCAAAAGTCCATTAAACAATACGAATTTTGGAGCAAAGCAAAAACATCAGAGGTGGGATCATGTGCCAGAACTGAACTCGTTTCCGATCCTTTTGTGTATTACAATGTAATGACACAAAATTGGTTCAAATCTTTTTTGTTTTTTGTTGTTGTTTTTTTTTTTCATTTGAATACACAAGCAAGAAATATACTTATAAAAACCGTGTTGGATACTAGTAATTGTTCCTCAAAACCTACATATCAAATCACTTGTACATAACTTGAATATATACGTACATGTACTTAGTCCAACACCTGACGGTTATATCGGCTGTTTGCACAACAATCATTTGAATTAAGAAATAAAAGGTCTCCATCGGTGTAACATTTAAGAAGTAATCAAATTACTTAAATTACGCCTATTGTATAAATACATTCAATGTTTTCTTCTTCTTCTTCTTTTTTTTTTAATTATGATGGATTGTATTGCTTGACCCATATGGATGTATTATGCAATAAAAATTATCGTTATTATTATTTATCTATTGATTTATTTCATTCTTATTTTTACGTTGCATTTATTAAAGAATTTTTTATCGACCTAAAAGATTAACTTTTGAATCAAATTGATTATAATTATACGATATTTATTCATTAGATTACTGATAGAAATTAAAGTTTAGAAGAAATACATGTCAAAAATCCCTCTGGCTAAGAAGTAAATATTTACTGTCCAACGCGTGTTGACTGTAAACAAAGTTTAGCTATTTTTGGTAGCGATTACAAATACAGACCAATCAGACGAGATGTCAAAGGGCGTGTTGGGACCCGTGACGTCATGTTAACCTAGTTATTTCAATTTCATTGGTTGATATTCTGGATTGTCGAAATAACGAATTTCGATTGGTCGTTATTTCTACATCGCGCCTGAACCACCGCGCGTCTACTACAAGCTGTTAGCGTCACTTGCTAAGTTGTTTACTGGAAGATCGATTTTAGAATATTACTTTCTGTGAGTAAGTAAAGTTTTTATCATATTTTGCACCCATTTACTTTATTAAAACATCAAGTTTCAGTATTAATTTCTACAAATTTGTCAAGTTGTAGTGCACAACAATCCATAGATCCTACTTCTTTGATTTGACACTGTAACGCCCGCTCTCCGCCATAGTGGATTTTTTTGTAACCACAAAGTTTTTTCTAGATTCTCCAGTCCATGATTTTACTGTTGCGTTTATAATAGTGAAAATTCTTGGACAAAAACAGTGGGAAAACACGACGTTCTAAATAAGTATGCATTTTTTTTTCATTTCTTCTGGATCCAAACCAAATCGCTCCCCTTTGTTCTTCCTGATAATCAACAAAGATGGCGCAAACAACAATCTTGATATATTTTATTGCGTAAACCTAACAAGGTTTTACAAAAGCACGACACAGAGCATGATTTGTTTTCATCACGCACCTGTTTTTAAACTTTGACCTTTTTTTTGTATTTTGTAGTTAACCCGCTCATAATGGCAGCTACAGCAAAGAAAGGAGGAAAGAAGGCTGATGCCCCAGGTATATAAATCAAGAAGTCATTATTGTAAACGTCAATTATTCCTTGTTAAAGGATTACTTAAAAATGCTTTAAAGCAAACAAGGGAGGAACACAATCACTTCACAAAGTAGCGACTTTGATTATTGATTGATAGCTTCCAACAGAGATCCTGTAATCTTGTAATGATTAAATTATTTTCCAAATGTATTTTCAGCCAAGGAAAAGAAAGCAGCAAAGCCCAAGTCCCCTAAGAAAGCTGCAAAGAAGGCAGGAGCAAAAAAGGGTATGTTTTCAAAGTAATATGTACAGCCTTAATAGATCATATGCATCGTTATGTGGTTTTCTTTTCGGGGCAGGGGATAGTTAGGAAATGAAAGAAAGAGTTATTTTCCCTGTCTTACAGGGTCTTTAGTCTTTACAAGACGTTGTAATAAATGCATAGTAACGTTTGCATTAAGGAGTTTTTCTTTTGATTTCTTAGCAAAAGGGAGAATTTTATCTTGAACTCGTGTAAAATAAATGTATGCTTTCTAACAATTCTGTGTTATTTTCATGCAGGAGTGAAGAGGGCTGGAAAGAAGGGAGGGAAGAAAGCAACCAAGGCCAAGAAGTGATCACTTCGTTATTAGTCAGCCTCACAATCCAGGGATTTTGTCATCAATCATCATTTAGAACTAGATTTTCACTTCCTTCCTTCTCTGGCGCCTTGTTTTCAAAGACGACTGAATCTCTTATATTATATAGACCTATATAAGACTGTTATATAGAGTAGATATTTATAGATGTGTGTACAACAAACAGTTTTATACCCTTTTTGCACAAGATTATTTTGATTTTTAAATCAATTTGGTTTTACAAGTTGAAAGTTGTTGACGACTTCATAATGGAATTTTACACAAATGTTTTGATCAAGACTATTCAATTTTCACCATTTTAAGTCATATTTAGAAATCACTTTACATTTTAATTATTAGGTATGTAATACTCTTCCTACATTCTTGTGTTGAGTTGTAGGACTATTATTGTGAAAATAAAATGTGTATAAAACTAAACATTTCTGTTATATGTTTGTTCTTTGATAGACTTCAGAACATAAGAAGGTTTTCTGTAGCAGTGATGTTGAGACAATTTTTAAACCAAAAAAAAAAGAAAATAGATGAAAGATTTCTGTACTGTGGAACATATAGTATTATATAGGATTGTACAGGATGACTATAATGTAATTTTGCTTCAATCAAAGCATCTATATGCTTAGATATGATAGCATCTTCCCAAGTCAAGGGTTTCTGATCCACTCCGCTCCACGTAAACCCTTGACCGAATAGACTAAGTTTGACAGGCTTAGAAATGGGCTCTCTGATTGGCCTCATGCAAGTTTGCATGAACCAATCATTGTTTTATTTAATCTGAAACTAAATCTTAATCAGAAAAACATGTCGGTTTTCGTCCCAACGATAATGTCTTTATCAATAAATAACTCAGTCAAAGATTTGTCACCAATGGGTGTTGAATTTATTACCGACTTCCAATATTGTCTCGGATTCTCTGTTTAATTCGCTTACTCTGATTGGTCAATAGCAGAGGTCAGTAGAGTTCAAAATGTGTAATCTCACTAGATGGCGCGATGGTAAACCCCGTCAAACTTAGTCTATTTTTTTTCGGTCAAGGGTTTATGTGGAGCGGAGTGGATCAGAAACCCTTGACTTGGGAAGATGACATAACAGTTTTCCCAAGGCAAAGTATGAAAGCTTATAAAGAAGCTGGGTGAATAAGGTGGACTGAATGCCCATTCATAAATGTTAGTTTTCAGAGTTAATTGGGTATTAAATAATAAAATTTCATGTTGGTTTACATTCTACAGAAGAGACAGCAGTACTAAAAAGGTGCCATGTTTCATACAGGAATATATAAACATAGGTAATCAGAGATTACAGAGCTCACCTCAACGAATGTTGTCTTTAAGTAAGGCAAAGTCCCACACTAATAATCTAGTAGTGTGCATCCCTAGATGTAACATTTATGCAATTTTGGTCCAATAGGGCTTGCAGTTACTGGGGAATGGACTTACCTAAAAACTTGAAACTAGTCACTCATCCAGTAAATGTAAGTCATATCCAGCATCTGAAGCAAGTTTGAGAGTGTTCATCCTGTGATGCATCATCTTAACCTGGTCACTCATCTGGAAAATGTCGGTCATATACAGCATCTGAAGCAAGCCTGGTTAATTGTGTGCATCTTTAGATGTTTCATCCATGCAAGTTTGGTCAACATAGGACTTAAAAGTTACTTGGAAATGACACCTGCTCCAAAAACTTTAACCTGGTCACTCATCCGGAAAATGTAGGTCAGGTCCAGCATCCGAAGCAAGTCCAGTAGTATGCATCCATAGATGTATCATCCATGCAAGTTTGGTCAATATAGGGCTTATAGTTACTTGGAAATGAGACCTGCTCTAAGAACTTTAACCTGCTCTAGAAACATTAACCTGGTCATTCTTCAGCTGAAATTGCAGCTCTTGAAACTTTGACTGGTACAATGAAACACACAAGAAGCATCCTCCATGCATCTCTGATTAATATAGGGCATAGAAGTAATTGAAAAGAAAACTTCACCAAAAACTTTAACCTGGGACGCCGACACCGACATTACATAAGCTTCCCCAACTTCGTTGAGGTGAGCTAAAAATCAACACAGCATTTAAGATGTATTTTAGTTTATTTACATGTTCTAAGCAGATAAATCATAAGAATCTGTTCTGCATATATACCTGCATCATTATTTTAATTTTTTTCTAAGCACTGCATAAGGGAATGAGTACTGGAGATACCTAATCACGGTACAGATGGTGTAACACCCGACAGTCTGATTCATTTTGAAAACTGTAATCATGGGGTCAGTGGACCCCTCTTATTTATGACAACCAGTCCAATGTCACAGTGCAAGCACCAGATTTACACTGACAGTACCAACCACACACACTAGTCTTGTACTCTATTTTATTCATTGATTGTAAAGGGTATCAGATATCTCAGCCCCACATTTGAAAAGTATGTTTGACACACTTTTAAATTAGATTAAAAAACTATGTTAGATAATTCATCTTAAATCTATTACTCATGTCAAAGAAGTTATATTAACTAATACAGTGTATAGTATTTACGCCAAACGGGTTATCCACTTTGTTATGGAATTCTCCCAGTTGATTCGATACACAAGAACATGTTCTACGTACGAATATTTTTTAAAACGAGGCAGGCTATTGATAAAGAATATCAACAATCTCGTTTGAAGTCAACATTTCTCAAATTCTATGGTCGAATCAATGACATTGTTTGCAAATATAAACTGTCATTAAGTGGGATGTTGACTGACTCTTTCATACAGATGGTTAGGCCATAATTTTACACTGAATTGTCTATGGATTTTTTATTTTCGTTTACCCATGCCGATGACAATGAGCCCATGGCAAATGGGATCGGTCGGCAGGGGATGCTTACTTCTCCATGGCACCTAATCCCACCTCTGTTGGCTCTGCTCATAATTTGTATTGTTTAAAGGGACTTTTGAGAACGTGTTGAAAGGGACTTTTGAGAATGATCACTGTACGTTATCTTCACATTTCATTTTTATACAAATAATTTTATACACTTAACAGAAATATATTGTAATATAAACAATAAAATGTCTTTCTTTGTTAATATAGGAATAAAGGTTGCAAACATTGCAGAAAAAATTACATAACCAGTTTACGCTTATCCCTGCATTAATAAAAACAGAGACCTTTTTATTGTGTCAGTAGACCGAGACTCACATGCACGCGGAATAACATCAACTGCTTTTTACAGTGTTGAAGGTTTAACCAAACTCAATCTACAAACTACTGCGAAGCGCGAAACAAGTATTTGTAGAAAGAAAATTTAGTCAACAAGAGTGCTCATTAAAGAATAGACATAAAGGATACTTCTGCTATAACCTAACAACAAAACGCCAGAAGTTTGAGCAGCAATTTTTAGGAGGCGTGAAGGAGGTTTTGTACCTGTATACATGTGCTTTGATAAATACGTTCGCGATTAACCAGTGGTGTTTTACTCTTCCTCCGTCAATCCATTCACGACCCGATATGATTTGAACATTCATCTGTCTTAACATCCATCATATCTTTTATAATTTTGTGGCCACTTTCATACCTTTGCCAATAGTCATCCGTAAAAATCCATGTTTTTGTCTAGTAACATCTTTTTTTCCCCCAGTAAATATAAATTGAAACAGATGTTATGTTTGCATAATTTATAAAAAGTCGTATATGACAATCTATTATTTTTCATTTTACAGAAGATCAACTGTGGTTGGGTACTTAACATTGAAAAAAAAAAGCAAGAGTTTCAAGACCTCTGATCTAGTTATAACGCGTTAAATTGGGGCTTCTACTTTAAACTTTAGAACATTTTTATTACATTTGCGAATAATAGAATAGGTAGACAACTATAAATTTCGAGGTTATTCAGTTATCATGTTGTAAATTTTGCATTTACCTCAGTTATCATGTTGTAAATTTTGCATTTACCTCCACCTACGTTAATTCAAAATTTGCAAAATTATAGAGTCAAATTATTACTAGTATTTATTTTCTGACATGTGAACAAATCTTAACGCTTCTTTGAAGACTGAATACGTTTCAACATTCACTAAACAATTTAATAAAAAAAATCAAGGGCTTCCTGCACAAAGGTCATTATCACAAGTTCAAGGTTATAATTAGCATATTACAGGGACCTGTTTGACCCGTCTTTTTAAAATATACTTTAATTTTCTCTCGAGAAAACTCTGCTTGAAGACAGTTATAGATAAGGTCAAATATAAAAATATTCAAAATCAGCGGAAAAAAAATAAAGAGCTCTATTTATCCAATTAACAGTGCTTGTGATTTTAACAAGATAGAAAATAATGGGCATTGTGTCTATTTCGTGCCAATTTTCACCGTCTCGTTTAAATTTAAAATCTTACTACACTAGAGACCATTTTCATTGTGGTGTGACACATCAGTAAACGGACTCGGGATATAAGATTGCCTAATGTATGTTTTCGTAACTATGTCCTAGCTGTTTCTTGCCTACAAGTATACTATACGGTGCATTATTAAGGGAATCTCATAGCATCTACATAGCAAACTAAAGCTTTCTTATCATACAATCCCGTAGAACGGGGGACATTATTATGCTATATTAAATTTTCAGTTAGATGCTGGTTCCCCCCCCCCCCCCCCACACACACGTTTTGTTTCTGTAAGCACTGGCAAATTACATGATTTTAAAAACAAAATGTACCAAAAAGTACTGAAGAGAAAGAAATTCCCCTAACCACATGGAATTTTCGGGTTTGGACAGTTCTTTTTTAATTGTCAGATTTTTCTGGAGTTTGCCCCCCCCCCCCCCCAACGTTTTGGGCAGTTTAGGTTTTTACTTTTCTTTCTTTGCTCGTCAGATTTTTTTAAAAGGTTGCCCCCCCCCAACTCACTTTTAAAACTGTTGCTACGGGCTTGTCATGCTTTTGAAATTGGTGAACAGCAGTTATATAACTCCCTAGCGCAGGTTAATTTATCATCATACCAAACCGATGAAAATCTAAAGTATAAAATCACACCACCAATAATCCGACCATCAGCATAATTATACGACAACCTACAGAATCACGTGACATTTGACGGGTTTTGTTCACATCTGTTCCGGGATTTGAAAATCAGCTGAAATCTCGACTGGATAATAAAACACCCGAAAAGAGAATGAAATGTTATAGGCATCTAGATTGCAAATTAAAGGTCTTTTGTTCATCAAATACGAATCTTGTCGAAGACTCGGTCAGTTGGCTCTGATCGCCTATAGATGCGATCTTGTTTCTGATGATGGACATTGACAGATAGCTAGGTCATGTATAACAGTTATTCAACGTTGATACGTCACGCAGTGCGATCATATATAGTGACTGTCCAGTATATAAAGCCTTCTGTGAATAATTTTGAGGGGGAAAAGGGAGAGAAAATATTCAATTATCAGTA